CACATTCAACGTAAGAACTAAAAAATTCAGATATCTTTACATATATGCCTTTTGAGTCATTTTACATTTACATTTTAGTCATTTAGCAGACGCTCTTATCCAGAGCGACTTACAGTTAGTGAATACATATTTTTTTTTTTTTATACTGGCCCCCCGTGGGAATCGAACCCACAACCCTGGCGTTGCAAACGCCATGCTCTATCAACGGAGCTACATCCCTGCCGGCCATTCCCTCCCCTACCCTGGACGACGCTGGGCCAATTGTGCGCCGCCCATGAGTCTCCCGGTCGCGGCCGGCTGCGACAGAACCTGGATTCGAACCAGGATCTAGTGGCACAGTTAGCACTGCGATGCAGTGCCTTAGACCACTGCGCCACTCAGGAGTACATAATAGATATGTTATAAATTTAACAGTAATCCATACTCACGCCCAGTACTACTGATCAAAATTTGGGTTTATCCTACAATACAATATGCAGATTTTGTTTTAACAGGTTCTGCTTACCTTTGTATTGACGGCCGTCTAGATCAGTTTCCTGAGGCGAGCTGGATTCCCGGCTGCTCCTGCGGACAGGTCACCCGTCCTTTCAGATCCGTCTCTTACTTGTCTCCTGTCTCTATCAACTTTTATGGACCGAATTCAGAGTTAGAAAAACCATCCTCTGCTACCAAGTTTGTTGATGATCACAAGTTTACTGGAGAACGGACAAGGTGGATGATTGTATAATATAAGGCAGTTTATTCAGAGGTAAAGATATCTGTAAATAGCGTGCACGGACCCGTTCGTCAACCTCGTAGGGAGATATCTGAGAGCGCGCGCCAAAACATTGTGTGCTGACATTTTATACAATAAAATAAAGTAGGTTGATTCTAGTAGTTCCGATCTTCCGATTGGTCCTGATGAGTTGGTCGAGGTCATCTCCATTGCATTGGCTCTGAGTCGGGTTCTCTGTCTTCAGATGTTCAGCCTGACAGAAGGGGTTTTTTGTGTGTGTGTGCTTAACAATGATGATGTGTGTGTATGTGTGTGTATGTGTGTGTATGTGTGTGTGTGTGTATGTGTGTGTGTATGTGTGTGTGTATGTGTGTGTGTGTGTGTATGTATGTGTGTGTATGTGTGTGTGTGTGTGTGTGTGTATGTGTGTATGTGTGTGTGTGTATGTGTGTATGTTTAACAATGATGATGTGTGTGTGTGTGTGTATGTGTGTGTGTGTGGGGGGGGGGGTGTGTGTATGTCCTCAGAGCAATAACTCGTGAGTTTGGGAGAACTTGAGAGACCTATGGCGTGGGTGTTGTCCATAGCCACCTGCTGATAAGGCCGACAAGATAGAAGTCTTTGTGCATTGTATTAAGTCCAAAGGCCCCAACACAAGATGGGTTATGCACAAGATTTTAGTCAGACCAAGCTATAACATAATATATTTACCACGACACTAGCTAATTGCGTCTTAAGTGTTTTGTGAAAACCCCCCCCAGCAACTAACGTTAGCAAGCAACTCAACTGCAACTCAAATTGCAGCACAGTTTCTCTGTGTAGCCCTGTTATTAGGGAGTTACTGTAGCTAGCTTCCACCTCAGATAGTCAAGTACTGTAATACATTTTGTTGACAGATTTGTTTTTGGAATGTTTTGTTAGCTCCACCTCATTTAGCTAGACTGAAGTTGACATACAGTGAGGGAAAAAAGTATTTGATCCCCTGCTGATTTTGTACGTTTGCCCACTGACAAAGAAATGATCAGTCTATAATTTTAATGGTAGGTTTATTTGAACAGTGAGAGACAGAATAACAACAAAGAAATCCAGAAATGTCAAAAATGTTATAAATTGATTTGCATTTTAATGAGGGAAATAAGTATTTAACCCCCTCTCAATCAGAAAGATTTCTGGCTCCCAGGTGTCTTTTATACAGGTAACGAGCTGAGATTAGGAGCACACTCTTAAAGGGAGTGCTCCTAATCTCAGTTTGTTACCTGTATAAAAGACACCTGTCCACAGAAGCAATCAATCAATCAGATTCCAAACTCTCCACCATGGCCAAGACCAAAGAGCTCTCCAAGGATGTCAGGGACAAGATTGTAGACCTACACAAGGCTGGAATGGGCTACAAGACCATCGCCAAGCAGCTTGGTGAGAAGGTGATAACAGTTGGTGCGATTATTCGCAAATGGAAGAAACACAAAAGAACTGTCAATCTCCCTCGGCCTGGGGCTCCATGCAAGATCTCACCTCGTGGAGTTGCAATGATCATGAGAACGGTGAGGAATCAGCCCAGAACTACACGGGAGGATCTTGTCAATGATCTCAAGGCAGCTGGGACCATAGTCACCAAGAAAACAATTGGTAACACACTACGCTGTGAAGGACTGAAATCCTGCAGTGCCTGCAAGGTCCCCCTGCTCTGAAGTTTGCCAATGAACATCTGAATGATTCAGAGGAGAACTGGGTGAAAGTGTTGTGGTCAGATGAGACCAAATGGAGCTCTTTGGCATCAACTCAACTCGCCGTGTTTGGAGGAGGAGGAATGCTGCCTATGACCCCAAGAACACCATCCCAACCGTCAAACATGGAGGTGGAAACATTATGCTTTGGGGGACAGGAAAACTTCACCGCATCAAAGGGACGATGGACGGGGCCATGTACCGTCAAATCTTGGGTGAGAACCTCCTTCCCTCAGCCAGGGCATTGAAAATGAGTCGTGGATGGGTATTCTAGCATGACAATGACCCAAAACACACGGCCAAGGCAACAAAGGAGTGGCTCAAGAAGAAGCACATTAAGGTCCTGGAGTGGCCTAGCCAGTCTCCAGACCTTAATCCCATAGAAAATCTGTGGAGGGAGCTGAAGGTTCGAGTTGCCAAACGTCAGCCTCGAAACCTTAATGACTTGGAGAAAATCTGCAAAGAGGAGTGGGACAAAATCCCTCCTGAGATGTGTGCAAACCTGGTGGCCAACTACAAGAAACGTCTGACCTCTGTGATTGCCAACAAGGGTTTTGCCACCAAGTACTAAGTCATGTTTTGCAGAGGGGTCAAATACTTATTTCCCTCATTAAAATGCAAATCAATTTATAACATTTTTGACATGCGTTTTTCTGGATTTTTTTGTTGTTATTCTGTCTCTCACTGTTCAAATAAACCTACCATTAAAACTATAGACTGATCATGTCTTTGTCAGTAGGCAAACGTACAACATCAGCAGGGGATCAAATACTTTTTTCCCCTCACTGTATGTTTGCTGAAAAATAAATGTCCCTGTATTTGCTGTGTGTGTTGACATAGTAGACAGGTAGATTGTTAATGCCAACTGATATATTTGTATTATTATACATGTAATATTATATTTCGGTTCAGTTGTCTTAACAAAACGTTTGTTTGTTTTCAGGATGAATAGGACAATATAAAGTATATGCAGTGATTCCTGAATATAACTATAACCTATTAGATGCCTTAATTGTTTTCTACCAACAGGAAAGAACGGTTAGTACAGACGGTTAGCCAAACGGACCCCTGGGTGCCAGAGTGTTCCTGTGCTGTGGAGGAGAAGAGGTCCACCGTGACCATGACTAAAGAGCTCGGGGCCCGGCTAGATTGCGCTCACGACCATCAGTGTTACAACCGAGTCCTGCCCCCATCTGCCACGGATGGAGCTGACGGAGAGTGAGATCAGTGAAGACCATAACTCTGAGAGCTCAGAATCATAATCATCACAGCGCGAGCCGAGATGTACTATGGAAGAGTGTGTGCAAGATCCGAAATACATTTGTCTTTGATAGCAAGCTGAAGGAGTTGTTCAGTGTCTGCCATGAGCCAGGTGTCATCAGTTCATCCCTGAAAAATAAATGGTTTTGCCATCCCCATGGAGACAGTGTGTTATGGGCCACGGGAGGAAGTGCGAGTCCCAGACCAGAGTGGGAAAGTTGTTTGCAGGGAATCTGTTGGTGCCATCAGCGGTCTCCCTTACTGACGGCTCACGCTCCATATTTGTGGAAACATGTCACCTCCTCAGCCTGGTGTCCATGTCGCTGTGACAGTTCGCAAAACCAACAGCGCATCTACATTGTGCCAGAGGTTAGCAGGTAGCTTAGTGGTTAATAGCGTTGTGCCAGTAACCGAAAGGTCGCTGGTTCTAATCCCTGAGCCGACTAGGTGACAAATCTGTCGATGTTGCCCTTGAGCAAGGCACTTAACCCTAATTGCTCCTGTAAGTCGCTCTGGATAAGAGCGTCTGCTAAATGACTAAAATGTTAACCACATGTGGACCTCTTTACACGGATTCTGGCTACAAATTGGTGACGGTCCACTGATCGTATCTGGAGACGCACGGTGTGATTCGCCAGGCCATGGTGCCTCCTTTGACACTTACACCGACCTGGACTCTGCTTCCCACCTGATCCTCGCCCAGGAGACTGGGCATGTGACCGAAGTGAAGAACAGCTACTGGTTGGAGACGGAGGGATTAGAGAGACGCCTGCAACACGTTGAGGTAAGCTATAGCCTAACCTATATTTTCTAGCTCGCCTAAGGGTTGTAAGTGGATGTATGAAGAGGACATGGTTACCTTTTTAGGATAATAATATAATCATTATTACTAACAGGACCATGGATGCAGTATTGAAACCCTGGCCACTGACAGGCATCCAAGTGTGAGGCTGTACTTTAGGGACTCACATGCTGATATCTGGCATGAGAATGACCTGTGGCACATTGCCAAAGGTGTGAGGAAACAGCTGGTGGCCATCGGGAAGCCAGTGGTACTGTCATACATGTCATATATATTATAGTAAAATCACAACTATGATTTGTGTAACTTCTATCTGGCTCTAAGGACCATCCCAGCGGACTCCGCTGAGCGCCGAAAGAGAGACAGTGGCAGTCACTTTGGGGGAACGGGCTGGTGTTCCGAAAATGGAGAAAGAGCAGGCCATTCAACAGCGAATTCAAAGATACACACGTCCATAAAGGGAATCGGAGTGGAATTGTTTTTCCACTGATAAAAAAATTAAATAAAAACAGTTTCAACGAACGTGCTAACTTGTCCCGGACCTGCTGTCTCGACCTATGAATGCTCAGCTATGAAAAGCCAACTGACATTTGCTCCTGCGGTGTTGAACTGTTGCACCCTCTATAACCACTGTGGTTATTATTTTGATGTAAAAAGGGCTTTGTAAAATACATTTGATTGTTTGCTGTGTATTCACTAACTGTCTGAGTCATGTGACATTTTTATAGTTCCTGTAACATATTTTGGATGCTCACGAGGCATTTATAAGTTAGATTCTTCAAGAAACAATAGTTACATATCATTAATTTATAAGTGCAAAATTGGATGGAGCATCTGCTGATTGCCCCTTTAATGTATGCTGCTGTTGTTTGTCTATTGATCTTGTGCATGAGGCAAAGACCTGCGATCACAAGCCTTTCATGTGAATCCTCTTCTTGTTTCATTTGAACTTGTAGAAAATAACTTAATTACCCTGTAATTGACTATGTATTTTTGTAATCCTGTTTCTCTGTTTCCACTAACATGTAGCCAGGTCGCTTTGGATAAAGGCGTCTGCTAAATGGCACATATTATTGAAGTCTCCTTTGACTCTGCCAACAAGCTCCCCAGTGTAGTTACCATTCCTTTCCAATAGATGGCAGCCAAAGCTAATTGAAGTCACTACTCTAGCAACAGGGACAAGTGCGTGTTGAAAGTAGTTTTATCTTCAAAGCAAGTTTATCTAGTTACACTTGAACCTGTTGTTATAGTGGACAAGCTAACTAATACATTTTTTTTACATAAGGCGCAGGCATTAGGTCTGTCTTAAAACAAATTACAGCAGGCTAGATTTACTAAATGAACTGGTTTTATTCAAACTCAAACCCTATGTAAATGCCTATTGCTTCTGGGTATGCGTGCCTTAAGGAAGAAACAAGACACGCAGGGATGTTAGCTCACTTGGTAGAGCATGGTGCTTGCAACGCCAGGGTTGTGGGTTCGATTCCCACGGGGGGCCAGTATGAAAAATGTATGCACTCACTAACTGTAAGTCGCTCTGGATAAGAGCGTCTGCTAAAATGACTTAAATGTTAAAATGTACACCTTGTCCAATTCTCCCTTGTGCCCATAGTGTGAACTGGCGATAAGCTGCCAGCCTGTGTGCTCTGCAAGCAAAATCACAAGAAAAGTTCGTCTGACACGAAACTAAATCACAATGTATTTATAATGAGCACGCCCCCTTATTGGTTAGAATGAGATTTCATGAATCATGATGCTGTCTGTGACTCGAACTGCGGTAGTCTAATCAAAAGGTAAATGTGTTACCATCGCGCCAAACAGCGCTGGTGATAAACATCGTTATAGGATACTGATTATATATATTGAGCACCTACCCACTACTGATGTTAACTTCAAACCATTTATAATCAAGCAAAACCTCTTCTGCCAGGAAGTCCTTCATTGGTACTCCTGAGTGGCGCAGTGGTCTAAGGCAGTGCTAACTGTGCCACTAGAGATCCTGGTTCGAATCCAGTCTCTGTCGCCGCCGGCCGCAACCGGGAGACTCATGGGCGGCGCACAATTGGCCCAGCGTCGTCCAGGGTAGGGGAGGGGAATGGCCGGCAGGGATGTAGCTCAGTTGATAGAGCATGGCGTTTGCAATGCCAGGGTTGTGGGTTCGATAACCACGGGGGCCAGTATAAAAAAGTATGTAATGTAAGTCGCTCTGGATAAGAGCGTCTGCTAAATGACTTAAATGTAAATAAGCATTAGTGACACGTCGCCATCCAGACAGACTGACGGGAACCTCTGACTGGATGTAATACAGGGATTTTGTGCTGTATCGCCACCATCTCTCTACAACACACACACCTGTGCTCTCTAGCCATTATCTGGCAGCATCCGCACTCACACCAGTTTGTGTCACCGCTACGCCAACCCTCTTAGCTGAGCTGTTTCAGGCAGCATACGTGTTACTGCTACGAGAACGAACTTTATGATCTGGGGGGGCAACGATCGGCTCAAACGTGAACGGCTTCAGTATGTTTATTGGCTCCCTAACTAACGTTATTTCATCCTCTGTTATAAACTAATTCTCAGACTCTGAGCTATTCTTGGTAAATTCTGCCATTTTTGGGAGTTCCAAAATGTTCTCTCCTGCCAGTGACGCAACCATGACAATATGGCGATTTACAATTACAGTTAGCTGGCATTCTAAATCGTAGTGTTTCCATTCCCCTTTAAGTATCAAAAGTAATTGTAATTGCTAAAATATAATTAAGTATCAAAAGTACAAGTATAAATCATTTCAAATTCCTTATATTAAGCAAAGCATTTTCTAGTTTTTTATTTAAATTTACGGATAGCCAGGGTCACACTCCAACTCTCAGACATCATTTACGAACGAAGCATGTGTTTAGTGAGTCCACCATATCAGAGGTAGTATAGGTGACCAGGGATGTTCTCTTGATAAATTGGACCATTTTCCTGTCCTGCTAAGCATTCAAAATGTAACAAGTGCTTTTGGGTGTCAGGGAAAATGTATGTAGTTAAAAAGTACATCATTTTCTTTAGGAATGTAGTGAAGTAAAAGTAAAAGTTGTCAAAAATATTAATAGTAAAGTACATATACCCCATAAAACTACTTAAGTAGTACTTTCAAGTATTTTAAGTACTTTACACCACTGAGTATAAGGGGGGTTCCTATGGTTCCTGTAGGGCGGCAGGTAGCTTAGTGGTAAAGAGCGTTGTGCCAGTAACCGAAAGGTCGCTGGTTCTAATCCGACTAGGTGAAAAATCTGCCGATGTGCACTTAAGCAAGGCACTTAACCCTAATTGCTCATGTAAGTCGCTCTGGATAAGAGCGTCTGCTAAAATGACTGAAATGTAAATTAAATGAAATGTTACGTCCCAAATGGCACCCTATTCCCTACATAGTGCACTATAGCCTCTGGTCAAAAGTAGTGCACTGTATGGGGAATAGAGTGTTTGGGACAAACTATCTGTTAGGATTACTCCTCCATACGCTTTGGGGGACACCCGCCTGGAATATAATCTAGGACTACTAGCTACGTATCATCTGCACTAAACCCAAACCTATGAGTTGCATCGTACCTGGGGCCTATGATACCTTCTTGGCCCATGGAGATAGATAGACCAGCGGTAAGGTTAGGACATGGAGTGACCCAACCTATCACTAAATGTAAATGTAGACTTTACCTTGCCGTAGGGCTCCTGTTCAAAACCCTCCAGGCCTGGCAGCATCTCCAGAGTGGTAGAGATGTTCCCTGATGAATATCTACGTCTGTCCAACTTGGGGTCACTGTAGAGAGAGAGAGAAGAGAGAGGAGAATGACTTTAGCGCTTCAGAGCCTCATCAGTCCCATGCCAATTAACAGTAAGTAATAGGAGAGGAGAGCTCCACGAGAGAGTCAGAGGGATAGTTCCAGATACAGGAGAGAGTCAGAGACACAGGAGAGAGTCAGAGGGATAGTTCCAGATACAGGAGAGAGTCAGAGGGATAGTTCCAGATACAGGAGAGAGTCAGGGGGATAGTTCCAGACACAGGAGAGAGTCAGGGGGATAGTTCCAGACACAGGAGAGAGTCAGGGGGATAGTTCCAGATACAGGAGAGAGTCAGGGGGATAGTTCCAGACACAGGAGAGGAGTCAGGGGGGATAGTTCCAGATACAGGAGCGAGACAGAGAGAGTCAGAGGGATAGTTCCAGATACAGGAGAGAGTCAGGGGGATAGTTCCAGACACAGGAGAGAGTCAGGGGGATAGTTCCAGATACAGGAGAGAGTCAGGGGGATAGTTCCAGATACAGGAGAGAGTCAGAGGGGGATAGTTCCAGATACAGGAGAGAGTCAGAGGGATAGTTCCAGATACAGGAGAGAGTCAGGATAGTTCCGATACAGGAAGAGAGTCAGGGGATAGTTCCAGATACAGGAGAGAGTCAGAGGGATAGTTCCAGATACAGGAGAGAGTCAGGGGGATAGTTCAGATACAGGAGAGAGTCAGAGGGATAGTTCCAGATACAGGAGAGAGTCAGGGGATAGTTCCAGATACAGGAGAGAGTCAGGGGGATAGTTCCAGATACAGTAGGAGAGTCAGAGGGATAGTTCCAGATACAGGAGAGAGTCAGGGGGATAGTTCCAGATACAGGAGAGAGTCAGGGGGATAGTTCCAGATACAGGAGAGAGTCAGGGGGATAGTTCCAGATACAGGAGAGAGTCAGAGGGATAGTTCCAGATACAGGAGAGAGTCAGGGGGATAGTTCCAGATACAGGAGAGAGTCAGAGGGATAGTTCCAGATACAGGAGAGAGTCAGGGGGATAGTTCCAGATACGGAGAGTCAAGAAAGGAGAGAGTAAGGGGGATAGTTCCAGATACAGGAGAGAGTCAGAGGGATAGTTCCAGATACAGGAGAGAGTCAGGGGGATAGTTCCAGATACAGGAATCAGAACAGGAGCAGTAAGGGGATAGTTCCAGATACAGGAGAGAGTCAGAGGGATAGTTCCAGATACAGGAGAGAGTCAGAGGGATAGTTCCAGATACAGGAGAGAGTCAGGAGGGATAGTTCCAGATACAGGAGAGTCAAAGACACAGGAGAGAGGGATTCCGAACAGGAGAGTCAGAGGTAGTTCCAGATACAGGAGATCAGAGAACAGAGAGGAGGGGGATGTTCCAGACACAGGAGAGTAGCAGAGGTCGAGGATAGTTCCAGATACAGGAGAGTCAGAAGATAGTCCAGACAGGAAGAGTCAGAGACACAGGAGAGTAAGGGGATAGTTCCAGATACAGGAGAGAGTCAGAGGGATAGTTCCAGATACAGGAGAGAGTCAGAGGGATAGTTCCAGATACAGGAGAGAGTCAGAGGGATAGTTCCAGATACAGGAGAGTCAAAGACACAGGAGAGAGTAAGGGGGATAGTTCCAGACACAGGATAGAGTCAGAAGGAGAGTTCCAGACACAGGA